TTTCTATATATAATAATAATATAAAGTGCAAATCATCTTTGTTAAAAAGTGCCCATTTGTCAAATTGTGTCCTTAAGAATACTTAAGCATAAATTTTATTTGCACTATTTAATTATATATACTTATACACATACCTACATATACTTACCCAAGAGAAGAAGTGCATTAATAAAATATATGCATATATTTTGCCGTCGGCTATTGCATTCTTCTCGTTGAACTAAAATTATATATATAAATAAATATACACCCGCATTTACATAGGTACCTACATACGAATAGCGCACCCATTCGCTTATATTTGTTGGTAATGAAAATTGTTAGCGAACAGAACGCCAAAAGACAAATACCCAGTAGGAATTTAAAAAAGTGACTCAGTAGGAAAAAGCGCAAAACCCTGCAAAATATCATTTATCAATTTTTTTCTACGATTCATCGGAAATTTAATAATCTCATATAAATATCAACCATCGGACACTAAGGAGATAAAAACAAGAAAATTAGTTTGAAAATTTGAAAATAAATAAATCACTATACGAAAAGTTTTTAAAGTTTGTTTTATTATATTTTTGTAACTCTACGCGACTTATTTTGCTCGTTCAATCCACATATTAAATATATCTTACCCTTACAAACTGAAGACGAATCGGGCTATACCCTAGAAATTAAAAGGGTCGAACTAAATTCGCTCTATGAATAAGCAAAGCGCTCATATGATTCGATCAGAAGAATTTCTCGCGAAAGTCATGAAACCATCGATTTCTTTAAAGTGAAAGAAAAATACCAAAAAAGTTATCAAATGTACCTCTGTTGCCTAGCTTCCATCAACGAAGATGTAGATACACGTAAAACACAGGTGTCAACCCAACCCATTAAGGAAAGGACTTCAGAAGGCACGATGATGGATTTCGCTCCTGCAGTTCACCTTCCACCATGCGACATCGACATCTTTTACGGAGATTAACCAACTTGGCCCACCTTTCGGGATATGCTTACAGCCCTGTATATCTGTAACCCAAGGATTAGTAATGTTGAAAGACTCTTTCACCCTACTCAGAAGACCTGAGGAGAAACAAGAGAGGTTATTCAAAACGCACCCCTGACAAATGATGGTTTCATACTAGCCTGGAAAAAGTTATTCGACCGTTACGAAAATATGAGGTTGCAGGTAACCACACAACTAAAGACCCTTTTTAACCTACCCCAAGTTACTGAAGAAACAGGTTGTGCTATAAAAAGCTTACAACGTTCGGTTAATAATGTTTTAACCAACTTAAACAATCTTGAGATTGACACAAACAGCTGGGATCCGATATTGAACCTTTGAATATACCCGAGCAGATAATTCAGATATACCGACGTGGTCAAATTTCGACAGTTTTTTAGCCCACAAATACAAAACTCTTGAATCACACCGGTACAGTTAAAAGAACAGATGAAGAGAAATATAACACTTTCAATGCAAACGTGGCTGAAACGCCAATTGCTAGACCCTCTAATACCCAAAGGAATACTAATTTCAACTTTACTCAAAATAATATAGATACAGAAAGCTGTAAGCTCTGCAAAAAGCAGCACCCTATTCGAGAATGTCCCAAATTTCTCGCAATGAATGTAGAGACACGTATCTCCACAATCAAAAAATATGGTTATTGCTTGGCCATTTCACATAGCTACAAGAACTGTGTGAGTAAATTCTCATGTCGTAAGTGTCACAAAAACACAATACTCTGATACACAGAGAATCCAGCTTTCGACATGAATCCACTCCGGAAATACCAAACGTCACTAGTTCGAACCCTGAAAACGCTTCAAGTACCGCACTAGCCACCCAAAGCTCAAACACAAATCGGCAAGCCTACACAACAACTATACAGTCCACTAAATCATCAACCCAAAACCCATCCAACCCAAGTAGGAAGCAGATATTACTCGGTACTGCAATGGTTCAAGTAGAACCAAGTGACCGGACTAAACAATGCAGTTTCAGCACCACCAACGAATAGTTGTGAAATCACGCTTTGCTCACCCTTAAACACAAATTATAAGGTATCAGCCCAGGCATTTATACTAAACAGCCTAACTGATAATTTACCCTCATAAAATTTGGATTCCAAGCAGGGTCTTAAAAATCTTGGATTCACTTTAGCAGACACCCAATTCCACAAACCCAGACCCGTGGATATACTAATCGGTAGTGATATCTATCCAAGTATTTTACTCAATGGAGTAAAGAGAAACATACTCGGTTAACTCTTAGCTCAAGAGACAGAATTCGGATGGATATTGTCTGGACCCATAACCCAACCCTCCCAAAATTCCGCCATAGTCTCATTTCACAATAAAGTGAACCCTGAGAATCTACTCACACGTTTTTGAGAGGTGGAGGAAATCCCAAAGGAATCCGTAATTTAAAAATCAGATCAAAATTGTGAGGAAATTTTCCAAAAAACTACCCGTCGTAATTCAGATGGACGTTATGTAGTAACCTTACCCTTCAAAGAACCCGACAATATTGATATCGGATATTCTAGACATATAGCGTTGGCCCAATTCCTCCGAAATGAACGAGCTTTACTTARAAAACCCGAAGTGAAGGCAGAATATGACAAAGCAATTATGGAATATTTGGAACTCGTACAAATGAAGAAAGTAGAATATGACCCTTCTTTTAAGGCGACCCAATATTACTTACCACACCACGCAGTCATTAAACCCGATCGTATAACCGCGAAATTGCGTGTGGTATTCAATGCATCTTGCCCCATGTCAAATAGCAAAAGCTTAAATGACGTCTTACATATCGGACCTACTTAAAGAAAGACCTTGTCATTCTGATCACAAATTGGCGACTCTTCCAATTCGTTTTTAATGCGGATATTCAGAAAATGTACCGGCAAATACTCGTAGACCCTAATCATCCTCGGTTCCAAAGGATACTATTTAGGAAGTCCCCGGAAGACACAATAGAAGACTTCGAATTACAAACTGTCACGTTCGGCATAAATTTCGCGCCTTACCAAGCGATCCGTACCCTCATGAAGCTAGCCGATGATGTAGAAGAAACCCATCCACTAGCAGCCAAAATACTTCGCCAGAAAATGTATGTAGACGATGTCTTAGCTGGAACTCATGACCTGACCACGGCAAAGTCAGCACGCGATGAACTCATTTCTGCTCTGAAGTCCCCAGGATTCGCTCCGCGAAAATCGACCTCCAATGACCCATACATTCTTAAAGGACTTCCACAGGATCGTCTTTTAGAGACGGAAACCCTAAACCTCTCGGAACCCGAAAACACCAAAACCGTGGGCATTCGATGGAACTCTAAAAAGGATTAATTTTTCTTCCTCGTCAACTCAATGGAGAAAAAACTCGCACACACCAAACGTGAAGTTTATCAGCCATAGCAAAATTGTTTGACCCAGCCGGTTGGCTTAGTCCCTTAGTCCTTAGTAATAATCACGGCAAAAATAATAATGCAACAAATATGGCTAGATAAGTCTGACTGGGATGAAAGCCTTAAGCCCCTCACCCTTCATCGATGGAACAGYTTCGTAAAGGATTACGAAAACATAAATAAAATTKRAATACCCAGATGGACCCATTTTAACCCAACAGCCACCATCGAACTCCACGGTTTCTCTGATGCTTCAGAAAAAGCATATGCCGCGACACTTTACATAAGGGTTCTAGTTGGACATAAAATATGGACAACTCTCTTAGTGTCAAAAACAAGAGTTGCTCCCATTAAAACCAAATCCCTACCCAGATTGGAACTCTGCGGAGCGGTTCTACTAGGTAATCTTGTAATAACTCTACCCTATCCCAACTACACCTAACCCAATATAAAAATTATTTTTGGACCCACTCAACCATAGTTCTCGCTTGGTTAAACAAACCACCATGTTCATGGACCACTTTTGTTTCTCATCGAGTAGCTGCAATCACCGAGAAGTAGGAGTCGATAATTGGAACCATGTGGAAAGCCAAGACAATCCCACAGACTTGGCAAGCCGAGGATGTACACCCACCGATCTATTGAATTGCAACCTCTGGTGGCATGGACCCCAATGGCTACAACATGAAAAGGACMATTTTCCAGCAAGGGAGAAAACATACAACACTACCGTGGAATTCAAACCCGTTAAGACGTTTGCGATAACCACCCAAGAGGATATCCTCGAAAAGTTTTCCTCATTCCCCAGAGCTATTTACGTCATCGCTTACCTATTAAGGTTTTGCGCAAATGCCTCAAAAAGGGGACGAGAAGCTGATTTCTCAAGCCACAAAATAACCCCGGAAGAGTTCAAAACAGCAAGAATGAAGTTAATTATTCAAACCCAAAAAAAACATTTCAGAGAAGAATATAATGCCTTGACCCGTAAAACCCAAATACACAAGAAAAGTTCATTATTGACTTTAAATCCATTCATTGACCCTAAAGGAGTTATGCGAAGTGACGGAAGATTAACCAATTCCGCAGCACTATCATATAATGAGCGTCACCCTATCTTATTACCCTATAATAGTCGTATGTCAAAATTACTAACTCATTTTACCCATTTAGCAACGTTATACGGCGGAAATCAGCTAGTTCTTCGACTCCTAAGGACAGAATTCTGGATACCCAAAGCAAAGAAGCTGATTAAAACAGTAATCCATCAATGCAAAACGTACATAATACATAATAAAGCTCAACAAACCCAAATAATGGCAGCTCTTCCGAATGAACGAACCATCCTAACCCGGCCGTTTGCTGCCACTGGTATCGACTTTGCTGGACCCTATGACATCAAAAACTACACTGGGAGAGCATGTCTAAYCACCAAAGGATATATATGTGTATTTGTGTGCTTCTCAACTAAAGCAATACATCTCGAACCCGTTAGCGATCTCACTACGCAAGCCTTCCTAGCAGCATTCTCCCGTTTCTTCTCGAGGCGTGGATGCCCGCCAATCTTTATTCCGACAACGGAACAGACCTTATAGGAGCTTCACAGCTGCTAATTCAAGATCGGCGAGAATTCCTACAGACACTTCGAACTCAAATTACATCCCTCCATAGTCATCAAAACATCTCATGGCACTTCAACCCACCAGGAGCTCCACATATGRGTGGATTATGGGAAGCAGGCATAAAAAGTCTAAAAACTCATCTAAATAAGATAGCAAAATTACAAAAATTCACGTTTGAAGAATTTGCTACCTTATTAGCCCGCATCGAAAGTTGTTTAAACTCTCCGCCAATAAGCCCCATAAGCGACTACTCAACAAACTTGGAACCTCTAACTCCAGGACACTTCCTTATAGGTACCCCATTGTTAACCCCTGCCGAACCCAATTTAGGGGATGCAAACTTAAGCATCGTTAACAGATGGCAGAAACTAAAAATACTCTACCAGTACATTTGCAAGAGATGGAAGGAAGAATATCTTAAGGAACTACCCAAACGATATAAATGGAAATATCCACAACGTAATGTTGAAGTTAACGACTTAGTCGTTATAAGAAACGAAAATATTTCACCCAACGAATGGAGGCTCGGTCGAATCCAAAAGGTCTTCTCCGGCTTAGATAATAAAATACGAGTGGTTGAAATCCGAACTGCTCAAGGCACAGTAACCCGCCCCATCACAAAAATTGTTATATTAATTACAGAATAACTTAAAAGTTTTCTCTTCCTTTTCAGTGAAATGGCCCCAACAATCAACAACTCACCCAAACCTCGTCGTATGAGCACAACAGTTACCATCCGGCCCGTAGCGCAACCCGTAGCATTACACCGATTTCAGAAGATGAAACGATGTCCCGACGCATTCGGCGTTTCAAGTCGACCCTTCCCATTATTCGTGAGGAAAAAGAATGTGATGATCACACAACTCGAAAAACGATCTCACATCATAGAAAAAATACGTCAAATCGTCATGTCGCTTGCGGAATATGCAAAAAAGACCACCGTCTAGTGACTTGCGTTACGTACTCGGCATATAATATAAACAAAAAATACGAAGCAGTAATAAAACACCACTACTGCGTTAATTGCTTAGCCAGGCCGAACAAGACAGAAGGATGTACAAGCAAAAATAGATGTTCCATTTGTCACGGGCAACATCATTCATCCCTACACGGACATCCGAGGTTATACCCGATCAACAATGTAAATGGTGTTGAGAAACCAAAATCTCAACCGCTTGCAATAGAGACCCGACTACCATCCTTACTGGCTAAGCAGACCCTAGTACCCATATTGAAGATACGTTTAAGATGCGATGGTAAATGGCATAAAGTTCGAGCCATTTTGAACCCCACCCTCAAAATTACAAATATAGCGGCCGAACTCGTCAAAAAATTCAAACTGCCAATTACATACCTCATACCTAATGATACAAAGTTTTGTTTGGAATGTAACGCAGTTATTACACACAACTTACCCAAAATACCCTATAAGCGAGATTTAAGTGACGATGTGAAAATGCGCTTTGAACACTTAGTCCTCGCTGACCCGCAATTTCATAGCAACAAAGAGCTAACGTTGGAGATTGGAGCCGATATCTACCCACAAATTATCAGAAGTGGATTCTTCAAACCAGACAATGGTACAGTGGTAGCGCAGAATACAGCATTTGGCTGGCACCATCTAACCCTAAGTATACTGCTGATATTTATTCAAAAAATTTCAATCTTTCAATACCCAATCAATTACCCTCTTAATACTTAATTATTTCGCAGATTCTGCAAGATGGCCAGGATGTTTAATCCAAACAAATACTCCTCTGCATTACTCCCACAAATTACATAAAGTAATAGAGGCGTAATGCAGAGGAATATAAACCGTCCCAACTTCACGCAACAGAACATAAAGAGTAACAAAAGAAAAGACTTTTCCCGCGCTTTTTACACATGAGACATATCCAAGTGCACACAGGAGTGAAATTTATAATTAGACAAAGTGAAGTCAAATTCGACAAGTGAAATATCAGTGAATACAATAAAACGTTGTTAAACAAGGAATCCAAACAACATTAAACAGCGATACTCCACAGCATTTCGATCAAAAACAACACAGGATAAAGAAATCTGCACCCACAACAGGTTACAACACATGAATATATTAACATAGAATTACATATGTATATCTATAAATTAATACAATTAACCCATATTGGTAACACACACATTTATACACCCATATATTTTTATATACACACAATTGAATATTAAACCAAAATTTATAACGATTATACTAAAAGAAGTATCTTTTAATTAAATGCAATCGGGACCGATACCCCGTTTGTCGACATACCCCGACAAACACTCTGAACGTTATTTCGATTATCTTACCAGCTTCGATTTCAACACGTAAGTTTTCAAGCTCTTGAATTTGTTTATTTAAGTCAGCAGCTTTTCTTGTTATCACTTCCTTAGTTTCACTCGTGTATTCTAATTTTAAAGGCCGACAAAATCTTGTGGACTGCGGAAAACAATTATTCCAAATCGGGGCTCTCGCGCTACTCAAGAGTCTCAAGGGAATCACTGTTATGGCCAAAAGACATGAATCAGCATTTCGTGATGTACTTTGATCAAGGAAAGATTGCTTATATTGAGATTGACCAGAGCTGCTGTCAAAACCGGAGCTAAATATCATTTCCCTTGATATGAAGTTACCCGTAATTGTCGCAAATACTTCTTTTTGCATCTCTATAATACTTTTAGCTGTAAGGTTTAAAAGCATTTGTAAAGCAACCTTTGCACATTGGTCATCTACAAGTACACCATCGGGTCTGCACTTACTTTTTATTGCTAATATATTATCATGGGGTGGATAAATATTAGCGTTACGTTCCTTGCTAGAAGTCCGGATGGAACAGTATTGGCTCTTCGAAAAATTGTTTTCGAGAAGAAATGCTAACGCTTCCTCATCAGACATTACAATAGGTGCTTTTACGTCATCGACATATAGCTTCCTAATCTTGGATGGTCTTGATGGACTTTCGATGGTTTCTTTTAAAACAACTGCCAAATCTACGTCCTTCTTTCCGAGCCGAAATTGATGCTGCTTGAACTAACAGACTTGTTTCGTTGTGTTCTGACATCGAGAGGATTGCTGCTTGTCTTCTCTTACTTCGTTTAGATTTCTCAGAGTACTTAAGTTGCGGCCGTCCAGTTAGTGATACAATTTTTTCATCTGGGCTTAGTTCTACTGTGCATTGAGTCTCTGTGGAAGTGCTTTCTAAATTTATTTGCCTGTTTATTACAGTTTCTGAACAAAGCCAGCCAGAATATTTAATTTTAAAATCATCTAATCTTCTATGACACTTTTCCCACTTTGCAAACAAATTATTGTTAAGCATTCGTGTTTTTTTGTTAAATACTTATAGCATTCATCTGAAATGTTATCGGCTCCATATTTTTGTATAAAATAATTTATCAGTGCGTCCTTATTTTTTCCTTTCTTCTGCTTGGTGAACCAAATATCAAAAACTGCTGAATTCTGTAAGCAAATGACGACTGAAAAAAAAAAATTTACTCAGAAACCGCAAAAAACCGCAAATCGAGATAAACATTTTCAAAAACTAAACACTTCAAAGTAATTTGGTTTTTAATCTTATGCTTAACACTCCTAAACAAAATATGTTAAGCTTACTCAAACTTAAAAAATAAAATAAATTCCAAAATGTTGAAGACTTTTGGAAAAAGTTATTTTATTTTTTAGACTATCCAACTTTTGAGTATTATATTTTACAAAATTAATAAACTTACCATCACCTTCGTGTTCCATTTAAACTTTTATTTAACACGCTTTGTTTTCAGCTTAAACAATCAATTGAAGTAAGCAGTATAAAACACCGAACGCAATTATGTTTACAAATGAAGCAAACAAATTTAACTTCGATGACTCACCGAATAACGGTGAATTGCATATTACAACACCAAAATTAATTTTTGGTTGTTTTGGAGCGTTGACTACTAGATTTCAGAAACAACAACATATTTCGGGACTGCAAACATTTTGACTTTTGGCCAACGAAATGAAATTTCCGACCATAGTGCATTGCCGGGACATACCTCCAGCCTAAGGTCGTCACTCCCATTATCAACCATCCCAGTGCCCTCGACTCTCCGCCCTAAAATAAGACAAAATATATTAATTACATAAAAAAAATTATATTTTTATTATTACCTTTGTTGTATTTTCTCTTCCCGAACTTGCTTTCATCTATTTGAACAGTTTTACCAGGGCCACCAATTTTACCTACCGCTACCTGATGGTCAACCTGGTAAAATACTACGGCTTCGCGGCAGTAATTAAACCAGTCACATATAGTAGCGCTAGATAAAACTGGTTCCCTGATAAAACTGTTTTTCCTCACTTCCGCATGCGACCAATGAGATGCATACGCATACATTAGATAAAATACCTGCGGAAGTGGGATTTTCACGTTGTCGAACCTGGTATCCAACCAGGTTGCCAACGCAGTTCGGTTCCGACAACCCTCTTTCCGGCATCGGAGCACTCACAACAGTGCTGCTTTTATTTAATGCCAGCGTCATTGGCACTTTATGCGTACGGTAAATTTTACTTTTTAGAATCAAACCTTGTTCTTCGGCAAAGGAAATACATTTCTCTTTAGAGTCAAATGTTTGGATTATTTTTCCAATATTCCACATTGACTTCACTTCCGACGCTTTAAGCACATTGGCTCGCTTTATAACACCTCGGCTGTTTGACGCTCCGACACAATATATTTAAATACCTTAAGTTATATTTTTATCAATTTAAAACTTATATTACTTACCTGATGAATTTGTACTCACTCGCTTTTTAACACCTCGGCTGGTTGACGCTCCGACACAATCTATTTAAATAACTTAAGTTATATTTTTATCAATTTAAAACTTAGATTACTTACCTGACAAATTTGCACTCATTTTTTAAAATACAACTTTTAATAATTATATATTTATATATATATATTATAAATTTTATGCTCTTTAAATTTGTATTCTGAATTTATGCATGTATCCAATCGCGGAATTCAAAWGAAATGAATATGAAACTTACAAAACGGGAAAAAAGAAACGGTACATTGTTTAGTTGTAACAATACCCGTTATAGAAAATGKAGTTTAAAAAGGGGAAACGCGCAATTGATAAATGTGAAGATAATGACAAAACGGACAACAAAAACAACTATACCTTGTTTAGTTGTAACAATATCCTTTATAGAAAATGTACTTTAAATAGGGTGATATACCCACCAGGGTGTGCCAGGTTTTTTTTTGTGAAACTCCTTTTTGGGTTGGCCGCGCTTCAAAAAAATAACCCTGGCCGATCCAACATCAGGTGTATCAGGTTTTTTTTTCGAGTAAAACTTGCTTTTTACTCATGTTATAGTAAGAAAAGAGATAATGATTTAAGTATTTTGGGGATAAAAATATTTTTTATTCGTTTGATATATGTGTAAATATGGCAATACTTATTATTTGACAACACGGAAGACTTATTGTTATTGTGCGTGTAATAATATTTATGTAAAACATAAAATGCTTATTTTAGCAAATATTTAAAATATTAATAAAAAATAAATATGTAGAAATATTGTAGTGAAGTGTAAGTGTATAAAAAGTGCAAAATATTAAAGAAAAAGTTACTATAAATCGAGAAATTACAAAATTAAATTTGCAACAGTTGCAGTTTTCAACTTTAAATGCATATATCTCGAAACCTATAAGTTTGCAGCGGCAACAATTACATATTTTCTTAATCTGGAGCATCAGCCCTATCCATCCATATCACTTTTAACGCCGAAATCGTGGGATGGTATACTAAAGCCGACCCGACCCATTTCATTTGCCGGAAGCTCGCTTTGAAGAGCTATTCCGTTTTAAAGAAAGATCCCGCAACAGCCTTGTTACAAGAGCTAAGTCTTCATATGAAAAGTGGCGAAAGGCGTACGTTTGTCCCAAAACCATTAAGAATGACTGCAGTACTTCATTACTATGCGACAGGATCATATTTGAGAGATGTTGACCAAGATTTTGTGTGCTCATTAAGCAAGACAGTTGTGTGTCGTGCAGTAAAAGAAGTCACAAACATCATTGAATTTGTATAAATACATTAAATTTCCTACATCTTTAGAGGAACAAAACAAAAAAAACAAACGTAAAAAAATCATTATATAGGTACATAAAAAAATATTGTGTATGTACATATGTGTTTATATTTTTACAGATTTTTTTTCATCTACGGGATTTCCTGGGTGCATTGGTGCTATTGATTGCACCCATGTTAAAATTAAAAAGCCGGCCGCTGATGTTGAATGCTGCTACATAAACAGAGAGGGCTACTTTTCCAAAAATGTGCAACTTATTTGTGACTACAATTTAAACATAGTGTCTGGGAATGCGCGTTATGGTGGTAGTACCCATGACAGCCAATGTAAACAATTTTTGGAAAGCAAAACGCCAGTGATGTAGATTCAAGTTGGCTTATTGGTGATTCATTCTATCCACAGCAACCATGGTTGATGACACCATTTCGAAATCCACAGACGATTGGGCAAAATAATTACAATGATTGCCACATTCGGGCTCGGAATTGTGTTGAAAGGATTAATGGAGTTTTGAAAAAGGTATTTTGGGTGCTTATCACATGAACGGGGTGTATTGTTTAAACCAGCATATGCTGGATCAATAATAAATGCGTGTTTAACCTTGCACAATATCAGATTAAAAAGAAATTTACCAATTCCAGACATAAACGTTTCGTCAAGTCAGTATGGAAGTTGACAATTTGGAAGAGAATCGTGAAAATTGTAGTGTGCTAAATCAAGGCAGAAAATGTCGGGATAATATAGTACGAAATTATTTTAACTAACTAATTATTTTAATTATAAAAAATTCACAAATTAATTAACATAAAAAAAGTATTTCATTTCAACAAGAAAA